AGTCCTCCTCCTACTCCTACTCCTACTCCTACTCCTACTCCTACTCCTACTCCTACTACTCCTACTCCTACTCCTACTCCTACTCCTACTACTACTACTACTACTACTACTACTACTACTAGACTACGGCCACCACTACCCTACTAATTACAACACACCTACGACTATGAATTCTACTACTACCACGACGAGGACGACGATCCTAGGACCCTCGAATTCATTGCGACGACGAGGACGGCTGGTGCNNGCTGGTGCCGCTGCTGCTGCTGCTGCTGCTGCTGCTGCAACAGCTACTACGGCGACGACGGCCACTGCTACTACCACGACTACCCCTGCCGCCACCACTACACACTACCACGACGACGACTGCTCGTACCTCTACTCATTCTACTACACTAGCCGCTAATTACCACCGCTGACATCTCGTCTAGATCCAGCATTCTGACCATAGTACTCAGCTGTCAGGCTCGCGTGACGTGTTCCGAAACGCTACAGAACTTGGAAGCACCCATTTTGCGTCTGCACTCGCCGCTCCAGAGGCATCCAATGTAGTCCTTCAGGGCCAATCCTGAGGCAGAGATCGCAACACATCGCAAGAGCATTTGGAGCTATCTGTGGAGGGCCGGAAAGCTTAGGCTTAGACCAGTGCACCTACGACGGCACGCAGCTTGACATTGATGTCTGTACTACTTTGGTCAGCTTTCGGGGCTAATAGTCTTTTTTACGAAGGCAGCGCGGTTGGCGTTGGCGTGGAATTCACCGCCAGCTCCCTCACCTCAGAACATCACGCAATACAAAGCTGTACAGCTGCGCAAAGGCTGCTCATGAAGCCGCCCGCATAAACAGCACAGTGCGCCACTAAGCTGGCACCCCGCAATCGTCTACCGGAAAACCCTCGCCGCTGTCCCTGTACTCTTCGACGCGGTGTGCCCACTCCTCCTGTATTCGGAGAAGCCGGTCAGAATAATCATTACGGTCTGGAAGACACTTGGCCATCTTCCGGCGGATCATGTCAGCCTGCTTTCTCAACTGAGCTGCCTTCGCATCAGCATCATCCTTGTCGAAGTTTGCGTTTGCAAGGTCGGGCCGCTGTTGGAAAACCTCCGGCACATCCAACCAGCCTTCGATCGCCTCTTCCCAGTCCAGCCAAGCTTTTTCCAGGGTCTCATTCAGCTGCTTGGCCCTGGCCAACTCCTCGAGCGCGTCCTCTACTGAGGTGCTCTCGGGATCAATGCTCACCTTTGCTCCTGGAACAGAAGTAGCACAGGTAAGGCAGTACTTGACAAAGACCCTTTCAGCTTGGATTTGGCCCTCCCGGAGGGCGGTGCTGTAACTCTCGCAGATATCCCGCTGCTGGCTCATGAGGTCTTCTTTGCACGCAAGGAGGCGCTGAAAGGCAGACTCCTCAAGATCGCTCTGATCTTTGACTTTTTGCTGTCTTTCGGAAACAAGCCTGGTCATGACTTCCCGGCCTTCCGTATCAAGAAAAGACCTCAGAAAAGCATTCACGTCTTCGCCCTGAAACTGCTCGCGCTTCTGCTCCACGAAGCGTCGAAAAGTGTCGCCATCAAAGCCTAATGGCTGAATCTCTGCAATAACCGCGCCAACGCTCAGCTGGTGGCTTCCGCCACCGCATTTGCACAAGACCTCTGTGCCCAAACTCAAGTCCAGGATCCATCCCTTCTGCGCCGGGCAGTCGAGGGCACTCATCTTCTTCCGAATTGTGTCTGCTGGATCCTCCGGAAACTTCAGGGTTTTCCGCTCGCAAGTCAGAGATCTCGGGCTCGGGGCCACATCCTGGCACACCGGAAGATCCACTTCGACCAATCGGACCGGTCTGGGCGCCAGTGGTGGAGGCGGTATTGTTGCCTGTCGCGACCGGGAGAGAGCCCCCAAAACTCCCTTAAAATCCATTTTTAAGGACTATGAAAGACCTCGAATTTTGAGGGCCAGAATCCCTTGGGTTAAGGTCTTTGCCTTCAAACGAAGGGAACTGGGCGTGTCCAAACATGAACTGCCCAATGGCCCAAACTGAACTGTGCACGGGCTTCTCTAACGGTATGGTCCTGTGTTGATTCCTGCTACTGGTTAACGGTTTAAAGAAGGTCTTGCGACTACCATAAGCAGCTGTGTTCTCGCCAAGACGCGATCCCAATGCGCACAAGCAGTGGCTTAAGACCGGGCCAGCGCCGGGTCCACAGCTTCGAGTGGAGGAGCATGTGCTGCTCTTTCAGACTGTCCTGCAGTAGACGAAAAGAGCTTACAGTGCAACCGGCTGTAGCTGACGTCTTCGCATTGGGGTGCAGTGTTCGCCGCTCACAACTCGACACAGCCAAGCGTGTGATTAGTTCTGGCTCAGGTTATCGGTTTTCGATTAGGGCCGAGAACCCGGGAGCCTGTCAGAAATGAATTACCTGTCTCACCTGCATGCAGCAAAAACCTCGGGCCCGCACCTTGGTGTAGGTCATCGGCCTTTCGTCACGCAGAACTTCTGCGCAGGCTGTGCAAAAAATGCCCTCCGGCAGATTCACAGCAGGGCCCTGGTGCCTGGGGAGCAGTGCTGTGTCTAATCTTCTGGACATGGCTCTCTAGTTATAGTTCCACCGCTATCTTAGGGTTGTGTTCTTACTTCTGTTGGTCCTTTTGTGTGCCTGTGGTTCCCCAGGGTGGCTGGACAGCAGCGCTCGGGATCCCAGGTGCTCTGGACGAGATGAACTTCGAACGCACCGAGCCGGCTGGGAACCGAGGACTTATGTGAGGCATTGGATGGCGTGCTCTTTGGCAAGCGCCGTTCCCACTCCGAGTACCTGTCATAGATGCGCTGGCTCTTCTTGAGCACCGGGGTCTTGAACTCGGTGACGCTGATAGCCTTGTCAGCCAGGACCTGTCTGAGCTCTCCCGCAAGCCGCTTGTACTTCTCACCCCAGGTAAAGTTCTGGGGATCCTGGCTCGAGGGTTGGGCATGGGCAGGTAGATAGCCGCTTTCACTCCAGCTCATCTCAATGACCACTGACCCTCTCTGTTTCTGGCCTTTCGGGCGCTGGGGGGACTCGCGAACCAGTTCCAAAACTTTGTTTTTCAGCTGGCTCGGTACCAACTCATGAACTGGTGGTGGCCTCGGCGCAACGTCGCTTAATGACGTGGACTTCTGGAAAGGGCGCACACCGGGCGGCTGCGGCCTGTTTGTACTCCCGGATTTTCTTGGTGCACTTGGTGTTGAAGGCCCAGATGGATAACCGCCGTGCCGCCTGGAGTAACTAACCCAAAACGGCTCTGGCGGTTCAAAGCGCCGTGATCTCGAGAATGCTCCAACCGACCCACTTCGGCCCAGAGATGGCTCACTCACACTGCGGCGCATGGACATGTTGCCGCGCAGCACTGCCAGCCAAATCAGCCGCGAGAAGTCAACCATGCACATATCAAAGCCCGACTCGTACAAACACCTACAGTGTCTACAGACTGTCTTCGACGCAACTCTATTTATAGTTCCACAGCATGAAGTGACGTCGCTGTCGCTGCCGTGATCCAACGAACCCAAATCGACTGGCTGAAGGCCACGCGTTGCATTATTGAACAAAGCCAAGCAGCTGAAATTGTAACTGTGTTGGGATGCGTGGCATCGGACAGAATGCCACACATGCCACACACCTAAAGCTGTGAGGGCTTTCCAGCTGCAGCCGCTGCAAGCCTTTTATGCCAAGTGGCAGGCACCTGTGGCGCGCCGCCTGCACACCAAACTCCTTCCTGGGGTTTACGATCCAGCCCGCAGTGGCCCTGCTCGCCCTGATCCTAGCCAACAGTCCAGCAGCATGAGTGTGGCTTAATTTTCAACTGGAAGACAATGCTCCCCAACTCATGCACTTCGGATGCATGTCAAGCATCACTGGAGAGCCGCAGTAAACGCATGTATCCATCTTCGCCCCAAGCCTGCAAAACGGATGTTGGCCCCAGGAACAGTGGACGGCCCGCAGATGCGCCTTGCCCCAAGAGTTTCGAATCAGGAAATAGCCTTTACCCAGAATGTCCCGGCCATAGCCTGCATGATGGGCATTGCACCGGTCACGGCACCAAAGAACCAGCCCTCCACGAACATCAATTATTGGCACACCTGCCTACCAAGACCACGGCATGATTGATCGTGGCATCTCGATCGCAGCCATCGAATATTCCGTGGCCGTAGACATCCCAGCGGGACGCATCCACCCCGACTACCAGTGGACCTGGAATGGGAGGATCCGGACTATCTTGCATGCTATCTTGGCAACGTCACCTCTGCTTGCAAGCGCTTGCAGCACTGAGTTCAAATTGTTCGTGGGGAGGCGAACAAAGCCTGCCAAAGCACAGCCGCTCATTCATTATGAAGCAGCTCATGATGGTCATGGCAACGCCTTGTGTGTGTCGACACCTAAAAAGTTGAATAGAAGTCAAAGCGTAATGTCGAGCCATGCTTCACTTATCCTGACTGTTCGTGTGCGCACTGGCTGTTCCCACACACACTTATACGTACGGTGTCACAGACAGAGTGAGGGAGGGGGGGAGAGAGAGAGAGAGGGCAACCCCCGCGCTCCGGCTGGACCTCAGGGGGTTATGCTATGCCATCATCTGTCTTTGGGGCATGGCTTGTGGTTTCACGAAGGTTATTCTTTTGAAAGAGCACAAACACAGACGACAACATACCTTCATATTAATACGTAACCGCAGGGCCACATACACTTGCGCATGCACATAAGTATGCAATCGATTTATCTATCTGTCCTGTGTGTCTGTCTCTCTGTCTCTGTCTCTATCTAGATCTACCTCTCTACCTACCAACCTCCCTACCTATCTACCTACCTACCTATCTACCTATCTGAAAACTGTCGATCTATATGCCAACCAATCAATCAATCTATCTATACCATGCTATCTAATTACTCATAATCAAGTGAAATTTACAACACATGGAGAGGGGTACGTATGAACCAGGGGAAGAAGCATAAAGGCACGATAGACACATGTATCTATATGTGTATATGTGCTATATGATGTGTATATATCTATAATTTGACTATAGATAATACGTATGTATATATATATATATTGTACTTACATATATGCGTAAAGTATACACTCAATTGGGTGTAAGTGATATGTACATACACGTCGTTGTGTGGTGGCATTGCGCTGCAGCGGTCTACACAACGGGATGATTCCTCCACATTTTTGTCCGCGTGCCAAACGTTCAATGTTCTGTAGCATGACTCAAACTCTGGTATTGGTGTCTGTCATGTTCCTACATACTGTTCAGTTGAACACCGGGCATTCAAGCAGGTATGCAGCCTAACCGAACAAAACAAGATGACAACACCTCAAGTACATGTCTTCTTGCACTTGTTTTTGTTCATCGGGCTAGACTACTACGTAGAACAAAGACATTGAAGCACCAATTTCCCCTGCTTTCAAAACTTAAACCCGAAAACACCCGACCCAAAATGCTAAGATCATGCTGTTTGAACTACACTCTAACAAGGTCTCGAATTGACTTTCAACTTGAGCCTTTCCTTATGAACTTCACTTCTCAACGAACCGTGAGAGTCATAAGACTTGAGACGCGGAAAAGATCGGAAAAGGAAGTTGCACGAAGAATCGCCCAAGGCACATAAGATTCTAAAAAAACCTGGACCGAACCGCGGCCATGCTGGGAACACCCCCCCCCCCCCTCACATGCACAAGCGCTCCGGACGCCGTAGATATGTCGCACTCTGGTCGCACTTAGACTACACCCACGTCGATGCGCACGCTCAGACTGACAGTCACGTTCATGCAAATACACTTCCATGGCATGTCGGACTAGTGTCGGACAGAATTGTATATGTAGGCACAGACACAAGCACAAGCACTCACAGGCACGCAATCGCACAAAAGCACGACAGAGACACCAAGACACCGAAACACGAAGACCGAGAGACAGAGAACATAGAGAGAGAGAGACAGAGAGACAAACAGTGGCACCGAAACGAGTCTGAAGTCCCAAAGTCCACAGGCCTTGCAGCTGCACGTATGGATGGCTCGCTGTGCCTGTGCAGCTCTCGCCCTTCTTGGTGCCGTCGTAGGACGTGCTGCTATACAAACCGTGCTGTCGCACATACCTCATGCTCGCAGAAGACAGCATGGTGTTTGGTCGTGACATGTCCTGACATTCACCTCCTACGGGAACGGCCAGTCCAGCTCTAGCAATTTCACCTCCACAACCCGCCAACCCTGTTAGCACATTTACGCCTAGATGCTCGAAGGCCAATTCGGAGTTGGCGCCATCACAGCCGCCCAGGCCACCACAGTGTTGTGGATTCGCAACGCAATCCTAGCATTCTGTCGTGGTACAAAAAAGCCCTGCGTGCACACGGACAAGGATGTCCGTATGCGGGAAATCCATCATACAGGACAATATCCTGAAAACTGCTTCTCCGATTGGCAACTTCAGTCTGCGTTGGGCTTCAGTGGTGGCTGCCGAAAAACGATTTCATTACATTGCCAACATCTGACAACTCGCCATGCTGTTAAGAGTTGCGTTGCATTCCTGCTAAATGCTGGAGGGGGCAGCTTCAGAATTATGTTTCTGGTTCTTGATGTGTGCTTGACTAGGATTGAAAACACTTAACGAAATGGCTATGTCAAAAAAGATAAACAAATCATGGAATTAAAAAACAGCTACTGAGTAACTACTAGTAGCAATTTAAACAACTTCAGCACATCAAAAAACTTAGGGACATCAAACAAAACCTGCGAAAAACGCAAAAACCCTGGGGACATATTTAACGCCAAAAAGTCAACAACATCTCCAAAACAGCAAAAACATAGGGAACTCAATGAAAACCACAGGTCTCAGAAATGATGCGGCAAACATAAATCAAAGCCTGTGAAAACACAAAAACAAACACCTGACCCGGTGAATGCAAAATATAGCCAAAAACCCAGGAAATCAAAGACACCACGGGGAGTAAACAAAAATGCAAGCAACCAAAAACACCGGGGGAATTCACACAAGAACCACAAACACCCTGGAGATATCAAACACAATAACAAGCGTAAACAGTTCAACCAAAAAACCTAGGGACGTCAAACAAGAACCTCAACCAGAATCAAAACCCAAATAAACATGAATCAAAAGCCCAATCAAGAGATAGGTCAGTATGCGAGACATAAACATTCAAGTCTTAACGGTCTTAACGATAGTGTCCGACTTTGAACACGGCATACAGCAAGCACACAACACAACACAAATTGCGTCACTTGCCGGCACCGACCTGAAACCCGAAACCCTAAACCCTAAACCCTAAACCAACCCCGTCCAAGCAGCGAGAAGCTGATCGACGGAGAGCTCTCGCGGTAGTCGCTTGCTGGTGATCTCTGCCTGGAAATAGACTTTGGGAGAAGTCTTCCTACTTCGTAGCGGCTCGGGAAGATTTGTTCGGCATCCTTCCTGCTGGAGGACCATCGGTCCCGAATAAAGCCCTTTTCCTTCTCGTTTCTAGCATGCTGGGGCCGCCGCATGCATTTCCAAAGCCCCGACGGCCGCAAGAGCCCAGCAAGATCCGCAGGTACCCTGCTCCTTGACAAAGCTGCTGGAGTTCAGCTGACTCCGCCTCACAGCACAAGGGAGTTTCGGGCATGCCAGCAACATCGTGCAGCAAGCGACCCGGCCAGTCGACAGACTCTGGTAGACCAGGAGGAAGCGTACCGGAACTGGTTTCAAGCAGCTCTGCCATCCTGGACACATCTCACCTCGACCTGCCTTACCTAGGCCTCAGCGTATCAAAAGAACCAAAGGCCACTTGCACAGGAACCTCCGCAGTGAGTCTCCAAAGCTCGGCCATCCGAGAGCGCCTCCACTTGTTTGCGTCACACCTCGATTCGGACAATGGGTGCACAAAGTCAAGCCAGTAAGTCATAGAATTCAGGGCCGAAAGGCTCGACTGCAGCTGGAGGAAGTTCGTGCTACCGCGATGCAGCCGTCGATGACCGAGCAAAGATTGAAATTCCTGCATGGCTGGCAACCAACCAGTGGCAGGCAATGCAATGCTTGTTGCATCTTGTTGCAGGACTCCCGGTTTGACAACAGGAAAGCAGCCCGACACCAAACAACCTCTACCCTGCCCCCCCTCAATTCACAACCGCCCATGCTTGCATGTACATACTGTGAGACTTGCAATGCCCCGACAGAGGCCTCCGGCGTGTAGTCTGCGAATTCGTTGATCTCTGCCTGCAACAGAATGGCGCATCTGGTCCCTTGGTGTCTGCCAAACTGCCGACATGCGACTGGTGAGCAAATTATTTCTTCTAAATTCCAACCCCTGAGCGCCTTCCAACTGCCCTCCTGGCTGTTTATCTGACGCACAGTGGAGATTTTCTGGTTGAAGAGCCCTAGCCGCAGCTCGTAGTCATCACCCAAGTCGCCGCGTCCTGGCAGAAGTGTGCTAGTCGCCGTTGCAGTCGCCTTACCCTCCCACGGCCGAGTCCCACCATACTGTGTGCGGAACTCGTCGTAAGAACTTCTGCCGGTGCGCAATTCCAATGCCCACGGCAGGACAGCATTAGCCTGCTCTCAATAGCATTTGCGGGTCGGGTCAGGGATGCAGACTCAAGCATAAACCAAGGAACAAGGACTGCAAGTAGAAGAGTCTGCCATGAGATCAGCATCCCGCTACTCATCATACGCAAGACGTGTTATGGAAACTGGAGTGCGAGGCACAGCCGAGAAGGTCAATAAAATCGCAGAACATCTAGAAGAACATCTTAACCACGACTGATGGACTGACCTCGCACCTCCCAGAGAGTTGAAAGAGAACTCTGTGGCCGAGTTCGGTATTGAACTCCGGCTCCAAGCTGGTCTGCAGCTGGACAACGCCTCGTCCTACATCGTCCTACAATTCACAGAACAACCACCAGTCTACGTATATCTCTCCTTGCATGCACTGCAACACGTTGCCCAGCCGAGCTGCCCCAATTGGGCTTTCTTTGGGGAACTAAATTTTGGCTGACGGCTTTGGACCACAAGGTCAAGACAGCGCGATCAAGCATACGATAAGCAACCGCGGCAGGCCGGCTTCAGTGATCACGAAGGAGATGCAATCCCTTCTTGCTTGTGGAGTTTCCAGGCTTGAGGGAGACTCTTGCTTTTTCTCCTGATGTTACACCTTGCTTCTGATGTGGAGACGTGTGAGACCTGAAGCAATGGACGGATGACGAACATTGGCATCCATTGGAAACTGATGGAAACGATGCAGCTGAGTCTTTCAACTCGTAAGCCAGCCAAGGGGCTGTGTTTTGTACACGTGAGACAAAGCCAAAGTGCTTGAAATCTTTCACACTCGGCCAATGCCCATTATCATACTGGCACCAACAATACTAGGCCCGTCACGAAAACAATGGCGAATATGTCGCAGGGCAGCTGGTTCTGCAGGTAAATCCGGCGCAGCTCCTTGTCAGTAGTGCCGGTCACCACATGGGACTTTCCGAAAGTATAGGGGTACCTTATATTGGGGTCCCTATAATAAGGATCCTTCTATTTAGGGTACTATCGAGGGTCCCCTATTTTGGGAAACCCCCACATGTAGCTCCAAGTGCGACGCGAAAGAACTAGCTTCACGCGAAACCGACACGACAGGGCTTCTATGCTCCAACCCGCCGGGTTGAGGCTGAAAGGCACCCCGACATGTTCCATGTGGACCATGGGGTGATGTGACGTTCGCAACCGAGGACCGAGGCCTGTCCGGGAGACGACGGCGAGATGCAGCCCAGAGAAAACGCGTGATCCCGTGTCTCGACGACCCAAACTCCAACTCCAAGTGAGAACCTGTCCATAGTGCAAGTTTGTCCTGATTCAGAGACGAGAGAAACTGACGTTTCTTTCATGTAGTTTCAGAACACCCCGGGACCCCGGGGCTCCTGTCCCCAGGCGCTCTCTTGGAGCGAGGTCCAGAGGTCTTGCTTCGCCAGGTCGCCACACACCGGAGGCTGTGGCTCGCCTGGACAGGAAGCAGCACTGGAACTACTACCGCACAGTTGCTGTGCATGCCTACTATCACTCATCTTAGGCGTTGTGTTCCATGCCAGTAGCAGCACAAGACATGTCAGTAGCTCCTGTACCTCAAGCTTTGACATGGCTTGCATCCTGTCATCTGCCTGGATCCAGCTCGTTGTCGCCTGACTTTTGACCGGCCATCTGCCTGGAAGCGGAAACTTGAGAGGCCCAGAATGTGGTGGTGCTGGCGTTGGAGCTGGTGCTGGTGCAGGTGCTGGTGTTCAATCGTTGTTTTGTCGTCGTCGTGGCAGAACTATCTTGTGCTCCTGACTCTATTATAGGCACAGGGGCCAAGGCTTCTCACAGCAAGAGCATGCGACTCTCAGCACTACCGTATCTTGTAGCCGGGCGGCAGATCCCCAAGGTCAAAGTCATCTTCTCCTGTCAAGGAGCGGGAAATGGGACCGGAATGGACCGGACTGAGGTTCTGATCCGCTAGGGCGTACAGACGTCTCGTCTTTGGCAACTTACTCCCATGTTCTCTATCCGGACACCGACCTTATCGAATAACACCGCATGTAGTTCTTATCGAATAACACCGTGCACATAGTTCAGCGACACCTTAACTTTAAAGGCTGCCGGATCAAAAAGAAAATAAAAAAGGATCAATAAAAAAATAAAAACTTTAGGATCAAAAAGAAAATAAAAAAGGATCAATAAAAAAATAAAAGGCGAACTCAGGCTGT